AAAAGTCCTAGAAAGCTCAAAATTTGGATTGGTAGGTTTTCACACATGTTGAACAAGATAGGACTAGCTAGTCAGAAGCAAATCTGAGACATCGATTGAGCTTGACTTGTTGTTTCTCTCATGCAATGACTCCTGGATGCCCACTGTGCGGTTTACTCCTTTTGTGTTGTTAGCGATTTTGTCAATGTTTGTATCAAGTCAAATAACAACGACTTTTTACAGATTTCGTTCTCGTCTTTCGTCTTGTTCTAATATTCTTGGTAATATCTTGTCAAAATTATAAATTTCAGTTGAAATTTGTGTTGCTGATCTGAAAGATCCGGTCACCATTCTATGAATGAAAACGCGTCAATTTTTTTATCGATCAGCAAAGAATTTGAAAGTTATCTTACATTGTTTGTTCTATTGAATCAAGATATTGCTCGTAACACTTTTTACAAAGAACATCTTCATTGTGCTCAGTCATTGTTTTCAAATCTAAATGTTTATTACACAAACCTAAATCAAAAATGTTAGTTGATACTGGGATTTGACAATCTATTAATCCGTACTCACCGCATTTAAAGCAAAGTATATGCCATGATTGACCAGCAGCTCTAACCTTTTCTGCTATATACACAGTTTTAGAACATCGTTTACATTTTTCAACAGAATTCCATGCCATTCGAAAAACTACTGTCGTCTTTTAAATATTAGATGAAATTATGCAATTCTTTTCGTTACCCTTATTCTTGCTACCTTTAAAACGACAACTCTAATCTTTATTATAAGCAACAATAAGTAGAAATGAGTTTCGTTTGAAGAAATGCTAATAAACTTGTCGTAAAATCTTCCATAAAAAAACTTAAGTCATAAAAGATCTCTTGATGTATTTTTACGATTAAATTCGTTGAAACAATTCACTTTTATGAAAAGTTACTCGAGAGTTTGACAGAAGATGGTTTTGTCAAGGTCAATAAATCAAATAATTGGACATGAATGGATTTCGATGTTGATTTTGTAATTTATATTAATATTTGATAATATTTTTTTCACTCAAATTTACGTCTGTGTTATCAATCAAATAAATAAGACTATTTTTTTGAAAATGCACAATAGAAACTTTGTTCATATTCGATAGAAAAATTGGTTTAACGTGGTTGACTGCTAAATGTTGTTCAAGGACGTACAAACACCATGATTTCTTCAAAAAAATATAAATACTAAAAGTCACCAAAACATTTCTTGCCGCGAAGACTTGTTTATTGGAAAAGAAGAATAAAGGGTGTCAATTGTCTTGATCACCAAAAAAAGATACTTTTGATCACCAAACGCCTTTAGATACAAATGATCACCAA